AGCTCCCTAGTTAGAACCCGCCCTTATTAGCTACTTATGTTTTTTAAAATTTTCTCGTTTTCATTTCGGTACTATATTATAAATAACTGTATTAATATTCATTTTATTCTTTTAAACCTTGTCTTTTTAAACAACTTAACAAGATGTACGATCAAACAAAATTAATTCAAATATTAAAAACACCAGAATATAAATGTTTTGACTCAAACGGAAAATGTTTTCCATCTTTAAATGCTATATATGTAAAAATTAGCGAAAAAATGAAGGAATTAGATTCTCATATAACACCCAAGCATATACAGTGGCGTGCAAAAGTTTCCGGCCAGTAACATTTTGTACTCTAATTTATTTTAAAAAACCCTAATAAAATTTTAATTATTACCAGGTGCGAATATAAGATATAGGTAATAAAATAATAAAGTGGAAGAATATTGTTTATGTTCATGAAAATATTTATCGTTGTAATATTTATATTATTCGTTGTCATATTTACATGTGCAAAAGTTTCCGGCCACTTAATATATTTGACCCATAGTAGGACTCGAGTGGTTTGTTTACATATAATATCGCGTTCAATGAATACACTTAGTTCGTAGGAAGTCGTGGAAGCATAAACATGGCTCGGCATACGCAAGTACAAATTCGAGAGAGAGTAATTCAATTTTCTGAAAATGGAAAGTCTTCTCGTGAGATTGCTTTATTATTATCGATCAAGGAAAATCAACCGTGAATGATATTATTGCTAAGTGCTGGATATAGTTTGGAAGATCGCCCGCGTAGTGGAAAATCACGAAAGACATCTAAAAAAGTAGATTGGGTCATTAAACGCAAATCAACTGCAGATGTAAGGAAAACTGTTGCCGAAATTGCACGCGAGCTACAGAATGAAAATCTTGCCGATGTTAGTCGTAGCACTGTGACACGAAGACTACATGATGTAGTTTTTGGCCGAATAGGTATTAGAAAACCGCTAATCAGTAAAAAGAATAAGAAGGCCCAATTACAGTTTGCCAAGAATCACAAAAATCACGCTTCCTCCACCGTGCTTTACAGTAGGAATTTGGTACCGAACGTCATTTCTGGTACCCGTAGGATGTCGTACATGTTGTCTGCCATCGCTTCCAAAAAGATTAAATTTAGATTCGTCTGAGAAAGCTACTTTTTTCCAATCTTCGACTGTCCAATTCTTGTGATTCTTGGCAAACTGTAATCGGGCCTTCTTATTCTTTTTACTGATTAGCGGTTTTCTAATACCTATACGGCCAAAAACTACATCATGTAGTCTTCGTGTCACAGTGCTACGACTAACATCGGCAAGATTTTCATTCTGTAGCTCGCGTGCAATTTCGGCAGCAGTTTTCCTTACATCTGCGGATGATTTGCGTTTAATGACCCGATCTACTTTTTTAGATGTCTTTCGTGGTCTTTCACTACACGGGCGATCTTCCAAACCATATCCAGCACAATACTTAGCAATAATATCATTCCTATGATTTTCCTATCGATAATAATGAAGCAATCTCACGAGAAGACTTTCCATTTTCAGAAAATTGAATTACTCTCTCTCGAATTTGTTTTTGCGTATGCCAAGCCATGTTTATGCTTCCATGACTTCCTACGAACTAAGTGTATTCATTGAACGCGATATTATATATAAACAAACCACTCCAGTCCTACTATAGGTCAAATATATTAAGTGGCCGGAAACTTTTGCACATGTAAATAAGACAATTACAACGATAAATATTTTCATGAACATAAACAATATTCTTCCACTTTATTATTTTGTTACCTATATCTTATACTCGCATCTAATAATAATTAAAATTTTATTAAGGTTTTTTAAAATAAACTAGCGGTTACCCGGCATGCTACTTAAAGGAAAGAAAGTGCTTATGTTTTAATTCCGTTTATTGAAGTGCTTTTGGATACACAATATTTTTGTTTTTCCATCTGGTGCGTACACGAATAAATCAGAAGGTTTTCCGACGCGTGAGCAGGCCACATACAGCTGTCCATGTGAGAAGATGGATTTTCCAAAGGCCGTAGCCGGATAAGGAGGGGTGATCTGCCCCCGCGCCGACCATGACCATTTTTTACA